CTAACATGGTGAAACCCCATCTCTACTAAAAATACAAAAATTAGCTGGGTGTTGTGGCACACACCTGTAGTCCCAGCTACTCGGGAGGCTGAGGCAGGAGAATTGCCTGAACCTGGGAGGCAGAGGTTGTAGCGAGCTGAGACTGAGTCACTGCACGCCAGCCTGGCGACAGAGAGAGACTCTGTCTCAAAAAAAAAAAAAAAAAAAACTTAAAATGATATGTTGCTTGCAGTCATTAGTGATAAAATCAGATTATGCTCTTACATTAATTTTAATGGTTTTTAATTCTTCAAAGTAGATTTTTAAATACTAAATATGTCTTTCCATATAATATTTGGAGACCTAGGAGTTGAAATAGTGGTATTTCAAGGTAGCTTGAATAAAGTGCACTGACAGACACTTCTGCAAGATCGCTTTACTTCATCCTTCTAGTATTCCCTATTGCCCAAAGGGAAAAAAAAATCTTTATGATTCCTTTGAATTTCTTCTATTCTTCAGTTATGCTTCAGGCTAAAGCCTAAATTAATTTTATTTCTAGATTCTGGATACTTAAGAAACTTCTTTTAAAATTGTTTTCTATTAACAAACTTCATCCAATAACCCCAGAGATTAGGGGGAAAGGAACACAAAGATGTACAGGGTGCCTCCTCCATGAAAGAGGCTGTGCTGTGTGTTTTCACATCTGTGTCTCAATCACTTCTCACAAAAGCCCTGTAAAAATAGCATTTAATATTAATAACAAGAGCTAACATTGATTGATCTCTACGTAAAAGATCTCATGTGTTTGAACACCAATCTTAGGAAGTAAGGTTAATCTCCCAATTGTACAGATGAGAAACACTAAAGCTTATGGGAGTTAAAAACACAACTGGGAAACCATAGTATTAAGATTTAAGCTCTTATATTAATTCTTCCAATGGCTATGCTTTTAACCATGACGCAGTACTGCTTATTTGTAAATTAGAGAGCATAATCTCCATTTTAGAGATGAGAATATATTAGGTTGGTGCAAAAGTAATTGTACTTTTTGCCATTGAGTGATGGCAAAACTGCAATTATTTTTGCACCAGCCTATAGGTTCAAAATGTGCTCAGATCATGCATTTAATAAATAGCAGGGCCCAGATCAGAATTAAAACTGACTACATCTAACTCCCAAATCTGAGTGCTCCACCTTGCACCACACCTTGCTGATGCAAAGAGCAAGTTTTCAAGCTGGACTACAATAAAGCTATTTTTCCATTTGAGTCTACATGTGGGACTAACTTTTATATATTATACTACCAAGGCAGAGAATGAGCTGGGATGAGCTGACACTTCATCATGACTGGAAAAGCCTGTCTGGCCAGGTGTGGTGACTCGTGCTTGTAATCTCAGCAGTTTGGGAGGCCAAGATGGGAGGATTGTTTGAGCCCAGAAGTTTGAGGCCATCCTGGGCAACATAGCAAGACCTCATTCCTACAAAGAAAAATTTAAAGAATATCCAGCTGCACTGGCATATGCCTATAGTCTCAGTTACTCAGGAGGTAGGAGAATCACTTGAGCCCAGGGGTTTGGGGTTGCAGTGAGCTATGATTGCACCACTGCACTACAGCCTGGGCAACAGAGGGACACTGTAGGAGAGAAAGAGAGAGAGTAGAGGGGAAAGGAGAAGAGAGAGGAAGGGGGAGGAGGGAAAGAGAGGGGAAATAGGGGAGGGAAGGAAGGGGGGGAGGTGAAGGGGAAGGGAAAGGAAAGGAAAGGAGAAAGGAAAGGAAAGGAGAAAGGAAAGG